CAAGCAGGCCAAGACCTTTCCCTTCACACAAGCTTTCCCTGAGTGACCGGCTGCCTGAATGGGTTTTTTTAAAAAACAAAAACGGAGGGTTGTGCCTTCCTGCTTTGAATTTGTTTTGGTGTTGCTTATGTTTTTTTGTATGGGATTTGTTTGATCCTTTATATTGGTACTCACTGTAGTTAGCTTTAATATTGTATTTTAATGATGTAGGCTGTGTTGGGTCCTTTTAAGGAGAAAGGTGAGATAAAAATGAAGGAAGGAAGGAAGGAACAAACGAACGAACGAATGAACGAACGAATTGCGAAAAAATCTTTTTTAAAAAACCCACACCACAATTTATATAAAATTTGTTTGAAAAAGACACCAGAACCATGCATTAGAAAGAACAGATGGTTAGCTCAGCTGTTTAGGTCTCGGGAGTTCGATTCCCGCTCTTGTGACTCCTTGACAGGGGATTGACTGGATGATCCATACGGTCCCTTCCAGCTTCTAAGGTTGTTGTTGTTGTTGTTGTTGTTGTTGTTGTTGTTGTTGTTGTTGTTGTTGTTGTTGTCGTCGTCGTCGTCGTCGTCGTCGTCGTTGTTGTTTATTATTATTATTACTTGGTGGGGTCCAACTGTAATATACGTATACTTTTATTATTGAGAAATCGAATTAATTTGTAAATGTTTACCTCCAAACTTCCAGAGTTGTTGTTTAGAATCTCCAATGTGTCTTCACATTATTGTTATTCTTATTATTATCATTATTCAGAAATACCAGGCACAGTCAATCAAAACTGTAAAAACGTTGACTGGTATTATATAGCAGATGCAAATTTTAGCTAAAAACCGAAGTATCTGTTAAACATCGGTGCAGTATTATGGTGTTCCTAACATTGCATTTTCTGTAGCTCTCATAGCGTAGTAATAGTGGTTGTTGTTTCTTTAAAAAAAGCAACATTCAAATTATGGACATCCAGACTTAAAGGAAGGAGGTGGCTTCCTCTGCACACGGACACTCGTTCAAGCATTACACGGCCCGGCCAGATTTCAAATGTCACAGAACAAAGCCTGGAGCTTAGCAACATCCCAAATCCGCCATGCAATACCGTACTCCCAAAAGAGTATTTTTCCTCCCCAAGTTCTGGGAAAGCAATGGCACCAGACGATTCAAAGATAACTCACTTTCTCTGTTTTGTTTCGCTCGGATTAAAGAGTCACGACAATTTTTTTCCACTCCAAAGAGATTTTGGCTTGGAGGGGCGGGTGGCGGTGGTTGGGTTCTTTTTTTCCACCACGTCACTTTCATGTGGCTTGAAACAGGATATGAGAAAAAGCACACTTTCCACAAAGATCTGGTTTTCTCAGACCGACAGGGCTTGCAAAAATAAATAAATAAATAAAATGAGTTTGCAAAGCCGTTCACCACAATGGAAAGTGAGGGAGCGGCCTCGCTTCCTGTCCCAGCGTGAAGCAGATAGCAGGGGGTGGCTGGTTAAGGCTCAGCTCACGCAAACTGAGGAGAGCACTGGGTGTTCAAGAAACAGGCTGACCACACAGTGGAATGGGGAAAAAAAGAGAACTTTCGAATTGTAGGTCTTGTTTGCAAGCCAGAGCTTAAAGCATCGCCCTGACGTGTTGTCATCATTGAATTTATGTGCAAAAGATGCCGAAATGACGTTGTTTGGGTCTGGGTGGACATCTTGAGGGCTTGCTGTGGGGTGTGCTCAAAATACGTTGTGAACGACTTGATCTAAAATCATTATATCTCCTTCAACATTGCTCGGAGTTCCCATTTTATCCACACCATAAACCCATCATCAAGGTCTGGCAGAACGTTTGTCAACCAAAGGGATTCGCGGCCAAAGGGAGATTTGAATGGGTCTCCTTAAATCTCAGGTTCTCTCTGTTTGAATTAGTCAGAAATTTCCGAAACGTTGGTACGTTCCTCTCAAAAGTAAACTAAATTTGAAAAAAATGGCCCAGCAGCATCTGGACGGGTCAAATTCAGCAGCTACTGAACGGCGGAATAGTTTTAGGTCTCTGGCTGTGGAGCCAGAGTTTGGGATTTCGATTCCCCCACTGGGCCTCCTTCATGAGGGCTGGATCCGAGGATCTATAAGGTTCCTTCTAGCTCTGCAGTTCTAGGATTCTAAGATTCTTATTTCCCCCGCTTGGATGCACACCATAATATGGCGAAGAGAGTTGAGCGCATCATGGAAGCCGAGAACAATCCCTGAACTGTTTCTGAAGGCAAAAATGATAAATCTCAGGCTGTCTGGATCATGAAAAGGGAGGGTTCCCCGGAAAAATTCAATAATGCTGGAGAAACTGGGAGCAGGAAAAGAGGAAGATGAAAAGGTGAGATGGATTGGCTCCCTAAAGGAAACCACAAGCTCGGGTTTGCAAGAACTGAGCAGAACAATTGAGAGCAGGACATTTTGGAGGTCACTCATTCATAGAGTCACGATCAGAGGCGACCGGGAGGCACGGAACAACAACGTCAACAACAATCAGTGTTGTAAGAGGAAAACACATGGGACATGTTGGCCATGTAGCTGTTAAAGGAGAAGGGGAGAAGCTGGAGAGGGGGAGAGGTGACACTCTTCCTTTACAAACAATCCAGACAAAACTCTCAGGTATCTAAATTGGCCAAATTCAGTAGCAGAATTGGGGGGGGGAATCAATTTTCTCAACTACAACGCCCATTAACTCTAGAGCTGCAGCCCCAAAATTAACTTTTCCAAGTTTGAAAGGTACACCTATTCCCGACATGTAGAGAATCATATGGTGCTTCCTTATAAATCTTAGTACGGCAGAGCTGGAAGGGACCCACTGGATCATCCAGTCAAGGAGACCCAGTGGAGGAATCCACAGAACTATACAGTAGATCCCAACTTGTGTTTATAAAGAAACACATAAAATATGGAGAGTTCTTCTCCAAAAACCAAAAACAAATGAAATTCCCAGCTTTCTCCATATGAGTCAACTAACACACCCACCTGGGCCGCCATGTCAATAAGCTTTGGGAGATTCAGCTTGGCTCCTTCGTCTGTCTTCAAGAAATCCAGAAGGCAGCCTGGAAAGAAGGAGAATGGGATCAGACTGGTGTTCCTCTCACTGTCTTATCTGCTGCAGGGACAAGCTGGTTCGCTCCTTTTGCAAACAATCAGATGATGGAATTACAGGAGTGAACCAGACTCTTCCCAGAGGGTTCCTAACAAAAACTTTCTGGGTCCCTATCGGGGGCTACTACTTTTTCGGTGTGGGTAGGAGGGCTCTGATTTGGTCTGTTTCCAGCATGCACAATCCGTGGAATCCAAAAATAGCAGAGCTTATAGCTTTTGATTTGCCTTCTGCTTTAAATTTCCCAATATCATTAAGTGGCTTAAGAAGCCAGCTTCACCACTTCACAATAATGGGAAATTAAACACTTCCTCTGCTCCTTGGTGGCGTGGCAGAGGAAGGAAGCAAAAGTTTCAGTTTTTTAAAAAGTCTATTAGGACAGTGCTGAGGTGCTGTCGTAAGAGATGTCTAAATTTTTTCTTAGGGAAAATAAAAATAAGAATTGAGCCTTCCATCAGAAGAAGGAAGGAGGAGAAGGAGGATGATTTTGTTGTTGTTTTGTTTTCATTGTTTTCCTAAGGGAGGTGGCCAAATAGGGTTACTTAAGGTGTATATGCCATATGGAGGTGAGGATCTCACCAGATGGCATACCAGACTTCTACCCAACCTTATTTAGCTCACTCAAGCCTGCTGTGATTGAGCCATGTAGATAAGCCTATGATGTTTTCTAAAAGAACTGGCTAAATATACATAATTATAGCAATCACAACAGACCAGCTGCCAGATTTCTAAGTGGGCTGATTACAGGGATCACATCCCCCCCCCCCATTACAGCAGATACCAGGCACAATTCAAAGTTTGGGTTTTAACTTAGAAAGCCCTAAACAGCTTGGGTCCAAGCTATCTCAAGGACCATAACTCCCTCAATGAGCCTGATCGAGTGTAAAAATCATCAGGGGAGAACTCTCTCTCCATCCCACCACCTTCACAGGTATGTTTGGTGGGGGACACACAACAGGGCCTTCTCTGTGGCTGCTCCCAGACTCTGGAACTCCCTCCCACTGGAGGCCAGCCTGGCCCCATCTTTGCTGTCCTGTCACTCAACCAGTCATGCAACCAGGTTGTTCACTACTCCCACCTACTTGATTTCATTTACTCAGCGCTAAAAATCCCAACAAGATTCTGGTAAGAATTTCTCTTTATCGCCATTCACCATCACATACGAGAGAAATGCTACCAGAAGATAAGGGCCGATAAACCCTTCCTGCCCTCTGTCTTCCAAAGAATCATTGAGCTGGTTGTCCAATTTTCTCTTGAATGCCTCCAAGCATTAGTGTGTGTTTTGTGTGTTTAGTCGTTTAGTCGTGTCCGACTCTTCGTGACCCCATGGACCAGAGCACGCCAGGCCCTCCTGTCTTCTACTGCCTCCCGGAGTTGTCACTCACCATTTCCCAAGAAATGTGGTTCTATTGTCATACTGCTCTAACAATTAGGAAGTTTTTCCTGATACTCAGCCGGAATCTGGCTTCCTATGACTTAAACCCATTATTGTGGGATGATGGAGAACAGATTCCATCCCTGCTATTGTATCTCCCCTTTGTCTTGTTTTCTCAAGGCTAAACATGCCTTCTTCCAAACTCTGTAGGACAAAGTTACTAATATATAAAGACAGAATAACCATTTCTGGGCCAAGGAGATGGAAATCCAGAGAAGACATGGCTACTGCTAAACCGTTGACATTGACAAAGGTCCACCTGTCCACAAGGCTCTTTTACCGTTGGCCATGTATTCCGTCACGATGTAAATCGGCTGCTGCGTGACCACCGCATAGAGTCGGACCAGCTTGCTGTGTTGGAGCCGCTTCATCAAGTTGGCCTCGGCCAGAAAGGCGTCTGGAGGCATACTGCCTTCCTTTAGGGTCTTGATGGCCACCTTCATGTTATTCTTGTAATACCCTGGAAGAAAACAATGGAACGAAATCAACCACAATCAACCACCTTCAGAACACGGCCAAAGAGCCCGAAAACCCCACAACAACCATCAGATCCCGGCCCTGAAAGCCTTCATGAATACATTCAACCACAGTCGGTTTAGACATCTTCCGAAAATGCAGTCATGAGATCCTCTCAAAAGAGCTCAAAACACCACGTGCTGGTTCTTTTTCACAACGCAGCGCTAACTCACTGCACTCCCCTGCGCAACATCTATTCTCAACCTCTTCCCCCACATGCTGAGCTTTGGAACATGGCAGGTTGACATGTAACCAAATCTGGGCCATGGAGATCCATGAGAAAGGTTGTGGGCCTTCAGTTGATTGCTCAGTTGCATCCATCCCTGGACACGTCTACGAACATTGGCTCATGCCTTGGCCGTGTCAAAAATAGGCTACTGCGATGTTCTCTACACAGGGCAGCCCTTGAGAACAGTACGGAAACTAGTCGGTCCAAAATTCAGCAGGCAGACTAATTTCAGGGATCACTAAGTACGATCATGTACCCCAGTCTTGGCTCGCCTACATTGGCTCACTGTAAGTTTCTGTGCTCAATTCAAGATTTTGACGCTGACCTATAAGGAACTCGATAATTCTCAGAACACCTGCTCCAGATAACAGTGGCCCATTTTACTCACTTCTCCCAAATTTCAATGTTAAGGATGGTCAAGCCGAGAGAGGCCAAAAAGACAATGAGAAATCGGGCCTTCTCGGTGGTGGCCCCAAGTCTGTGGCGGACCAAACGTCCTTCCGAGGTGCGGTTGGTTGGTTGGTTGGTTGGTTGGTTGGTTGGTTGGTTGGTTGGTTGGTTGGTTGGTTGGTTGGTTGGTTGGTTGGTTGGTTGGTTGGTTGGTTGGTTGGTTGGTTGGTTGGTTGGTTGGTTGGTTGGTTGGTTGGTTGGTTGGTTGGTTGGTTGGTTGGTTGGTTGGTTGGTTGGTTGGTTGGTTGGTTGGTTGGTTGGTTGGTTGGTTGGTTGGTTGGTTGGTTGGTTGGTTGGTTGGTTGGTTGGTTGGTTGGTTGGTTGGTTGGTTGGTTGGTTGGTTGGTTGGTTGGTTGGTTGGTTGGTTGGTTGGTTGGTTGGTTGGTTGGTTGGTTGGTTGGTTGGTTGGTTGGTTGGTTGGTTGGTTGGTTGGTTGGTTGGTTGGTTGGTTGGTTGGTTGGTTGGTTGGTTGGTTGGGGCATGCATTTTACCAGCTGCATGTTACCGTTTCCTGTTTCGGAGCAAAACCCTGGCCCCATGCCTTCTCCCTTTCCCATCACAGGCAAAGCTCTGCTCCCACTTACCCATCCACACCTCGCCGAACTGGCCGGCTCCCAACTTCTTGATGAGTTTCAAGCTGTCCCGAGGGATTTCCCACTCGTCGGTCAGCCAGGGTCTTTCCGGAGTGAGAGACAGACACGGCTCAGTCAGCCTCTGGCACAGGCCGTCTTGGTTTGCTGCACATGGAAAGCACAAGCAGGAGGATCAGAGATGAGTTGGCAACAGATAGGGCAAAATGTAGGGGGGGCGAACCTCCCTCCACCGGGCATCCACTGGTGTGTGAATTTGGGCCATTGGCGGTGGGCTCCAACCCCCAGTGTTCCAAGGCATTTCCAAGATATAATGTGGGCACAGTTATTCATATTTTAAAAGATGAATAGATAAGATGAGGGAAGTAAAATTCGCACCCGCAGCATTCCAAATGGGTCACCCCCAGGTTTGCAAGTGGCCTCAAGTGGCAAGGTTTTGCAAAGTTCAACCTCTTGTTTTCACTTTTTCAATTCGAGCGGTCTGTGGTGGGCACGGGGTGGGTCCTTTAACACCCCACTGCAAAAAAACCAAACAAACACCCAACCCAGCTCTCCTGAAAAGCTGCTTGGCCAAGCTGCTGAGCCATCTCTTTCTCTCTCGAACCCGGAGCCCTGGAGCCTTCAAATGGCTTTGCCGAGCCGACCTGAAAAGCAAAACGTGGCCCGCTCCTATCTAGCAAAGGGAGCTTCGTGTTCGGCTTTGCTGAACCTGAGCTGTCCGAAGGGGAACTGACCTGAATAGTGGTTCACAAGCTGGTTCAGAGAAGAAAGCATATTCCTGGGACAGATGTAATATCCTCCCTGGTCCAACCTGCGGATCTTGTAATGTTTGACCACATCCCCTTGCGGCGAGCTGTCTCTAATGGAAAGTGAGTAGTCACCTGGAAGAAGAGGAGGAGCAGAAGTGAAGTTACTTTTGTGGCATTCATACAGATCTTAGGATGGTAGAAGGGACCCTATAGATCATCTAGTCCAGCCCCTGTCCAAGAAGCCCAGCAGGGAATCGAACTCCCAGCCTTTGGCTCCACAGCCAGGTGACTAAACCACCGAGCTATCTAGCAATTAAATGGCAGCATTAAATATGTCGCGGAGAGACAGTGCTCAGTAGTGGTTAAGGCCTTCAGCCTGGGACCTGGGAAATCTGGGTCCAACTTGCCACCAAGTGAAATATCTCACCAGGTGACCGTGGGCCAGTCCTTCTCTTTCAGCCTCATCGACCTACCTCACTGGGCTGTTGTGAGGACAAAATGAAGAGGAGAATCAATGCAGGGAAGGGAGAGCATCCATTGAACAAATACATGAAAAAGTATATCAGGAAGAAGAGGAAGAAAAAAAGGCAAATCTTATGTCTTACGGACTTGTATATCTGAGGAAAAGGACTTGTCCACGAGGTAAGATAAAGGTAAGGTTCCCCTTGAGATTTAGTCCAGTCGTATCCGACTCTAGGGCACGGTGCTCATCCCCGTCTCCAAGC